GATTTCCATCGCCGTCATGTCAAATTCTTGTTCTTTATCTCATAATGTTTAATGAGAAGTGAGCTTTCTGAAAGGTAAAATAAACGGAAGAAACCCACAGACCTGACGTCTTTGGCAGTGTGAAGTCATCCCTTTAACGTAATTGCTTTAATTTGTTCGGTTCAAGGTGTCATGTGCAGCAAGTCGTGTTCAAGTGCTTGTGATATCAGGATTTTTTGTGGAGTAATTTAACATTTCTAGCACAGTTTCAAGCTAGGAAAGATCCCGAAAGAGAAACAGGTGCTTGTGGCGTGTTTCACTAAATGTTTACAGTCAAGGAGTGGTGATATTTGTGTGACTTAGGCGATGACAGAGTGGCCACAGAAGACGTTGAGTAATGGAAACGTATGCTCCTCAATTCTCTCCAGATAAAATCCAGCATGGAGTAGAGACCACCACATCATGTATAAATAAACTACTGTGTCGATACCTGATGGTAAATCGGTAAACATGATACTGCCGATTGGTCGACGATCAATTAGCCCCCACAGTTACCCTTATTGTGCTTTGCTTATAATGACTTTGATCCTTGAAATAGAAATTACAAAGAACAATGAGTCGAAGCGATGCGGCGTAAAAATTTCCGTCTTTCTACTTTAACACTTTCAGCAGTTGTCTAACATATAAAAAATTCAGAATACTATAAGGTGTCTGTTGCCATCGCACTATCAGGTACAGTGCCAAAAAATTTCCAGTAGCTGTAACTGGGAGAGAGTCTTAGAATGACGGGAAAATTGCGAGAGAAACACTGTTGTAACAGAAAAAAAAACAGAGGGAATAACTCTTCTGTATTTCTGTTAATAAACTGTATCGTTGTGACAAACGTCGAATGCGTGAGAGCGTGAGTTTACCTCAAACTTGGGTAATTAAGCCTTTATTACAAAGGAATGGTATAATATTTGAACGTAACTATTAGTTATAATTCAAAGTAACAAGTATAACAAAATTAACAATCATCAATAGAAATAACAAGCTACAGAAAAGGTGGTTAGCCGGCCGGCAATCACCACAACGCATCGCTACACAATGGCTTCTTTTCCTGTTGATCTGATTGCTCTGATCGGTTTTGGTTATCATACACATTTTAGCTGCTTCACTGGCGCCAGTCGCCGATCGCTTCGCATGAGCCCAGTCCTTTTAGCATACGCGTTGGTCGCGACAACTGTTGTTTGCAAGAAGCATCTTGATTTTGTGGATCTAGGAAGTCGGTCATTAAAAATGCCGACACCAAAGTAGTGCTAACCAATGAAACGCCTGTTACTGAATTCATTGCTACAGTCTTACACAACTAAAGCTAATCAAGGGCTCACGAGCCAAAAAACACTGTTTCAGGTCTCAGTACGTCCTGCAATTAATGCCTCTGGGATTGTACCGGTCGTTTGATGTCTTTATCTACGATCAAAACTTCTGTGCCAACTTACCGGATTTTCCACAGTAATATTCATGTTATTCCTCTCTTACGGCAGTCCGTAAACCTTGCTGCCTTGATATAAAGTTCCAGGACCTGCATGCATTCTGGTATTTGGCTGTACAAGTTTTTGATGACAAGACCAGTGTGGCGGTGAACCCGCTGCTTTTTCTCGTTACGGCATCGATTAAAAAGTACCGTGTTCATTTGGCTGTGTGGACCGTAGAGTGCTCTTAGTGGACAACTTTTCTTGGTTTTTCCGCTTGGTTGTTACCTCTCTTTAACTTTGGTCATTGCGGAAGTCAGATTTAAAGCAGTATTTGTAGCGTGATGTAGTTTTAAAGTTTATCGATTTTTGCTTCAACGTGATGCGATTTGCTTGGTAGCATATTAAAAATTTTTGTCGAGCAGTCTTCTGAGGTTTCGTCAGTGCATTTCATTTACTTTCAGGCTAGCAATTTTAGTTACATTTTCAGAATTAATTAAAGCTGGCTCGTATTTTATGAAGCTTGTAACAAAAGCGTTGTCTGTGGCAACGGATGAGGGTTATCTTTTTGCATATTTTGAGGAATAGCTTACACTTCCTCCGTAGTTGGTCATTTTTATTCGACCGAGTTCTTGTATTGGTTTTACAACTGTAACAATATCGGTATGGTAATCTCCGTAATACTCCAATTTTCACGAAGGTTCTCCATCCTAAGTCCGAATCTTTTGAGGGCTCTTCAGCTGAAAAAAAACCTAAAAACCTCCTACTTTTGTCATCTGACTTGAAAATCTGATGAAATTTTGAATAAGGAACTCTGCTTTTCTAAAAAAGGGCACTCTTATGATTAGCAAACGTACTTGGCATTTCCGTTGATGATCGGATGAATTCAAAGCTCCTCTTTTCGGAATTTGTTAGGTATATTTCAAAGTAGTAGAATACTTTTTCAAAGATGGTAGAAAAAACTGTTGCAGTTTATTACGAGTGTTCTTCGGTCGCTTTTAACAACTGTGGCAGTCGCGCTAAGGTACTTCCGCAAAAATATCGTTCTCCTAGCCGTTTTACTGAAAAAGTGAGAACAACGCAAATTTAGTGAAACTACAAAATGATTTTTTCATCTCAAGTAGTAGCAAAGCTCCGTAAAAATGTTCAGCAAGAAATTCCAAAAAGTCTAAGAAGCAATTTATTAGTTGGGAAGAAAATAAGTGCACCCACAACTTATAAAAGTATCAGTGTTAAAACACTCAAGCCTCAACTGAGAAAATTATTTCTCCAGTTTTACCTCCATTCCATATTCGTCTTTTCTATGCTGACAGATTGACTGAAAATGCTTTGTCGCAGTTAATGCGTAACTTTCAAACATATTCAAAAGCAAACTATCGACAATTTGTTTCGAATATCAAGTTTCATTGATTAATAAAACAAGATTTAAATTCCTAATCTGTCAGTATGTTCAAGATAAAGTTTAAAGGCTAAAGACTTGCCGTTCTTAAATGCGTAAAGTTCATGCAGTTAATAAAAACCAGTCTCTCAAAAATTGAACTGTGAATAGTAATGTCCATAAGAAATTGCAAAATCACTGTCGTCGTCACATTGCCAACTGCGACACCAATTCAATTTACAGTGGCTGTGGCCGATACTGAGGAATTGCAAAACGCGAAAAAGCCCCATTGTTTGTATGAGTATTGACTATGGAGATTCGAGAAAAACTTGAGAACCAAAGATCTGAACTGGTACCGATAATACTGGAAGGCATGTTATCAAATTTGTCACTGCTTTCTCACCTAATAAAGCTTTGCTAGGATTAGTGCTAACAGACCAACAATATCGTGCCTCTATATTAGTGGTCATATTTACCCTAAAATCAAAACCAGTCAAACAGTCCATCTATCTGTCAATATCGTCGCATCAACTTGTAGGAGGCTGTTGTAGTATAATTCTTGCCTTAACTAATTAACGATGGATCAGCCGTAGTTGTGATAGTGGGAAGATTCCGTTGTTTTAATATAAAGACAATGCCTAAACAACCAAACGTCATTGATTGTACGACTATCTAAGAATGTGGCCAGTACCGCCGTATATTCGTCCGTACTTGTATTTAAATCACGGTATTAATTTAGCCACTGGGATGTACTTTCGGCCGCATGAGCCACAAAGGTGTTGTCTAACTGCTGCTCAATTCTCTGCTGCGCCATTTCTCTATTAGTTTTATAGCAGCTCATTTTCAGGGTGTATTTTGTAAATGACGGTATTCTAAAGTACGTCGATCTTCCCTTCTCGTTAAGTGTGTACAACGTACCCGTATTTGTCCAACAGCAGGGCACGGTCTTCCATGTATTAATTTTTGGAGGCTTAGTTTCTCCCTTTCCAGCTGGGTTCATTGCTTAGCTGTGGCTGTCAACAAATTTTTTTTCTTTTGAAACTTTGATGAATTTTAGAATGGAGCTGAAAATACTGTCACTTTTCTAAACGCGCAAGTACCAAGTAACCTGCAAGTACTAAGTAACCCGCAAGTACCAAATAACCTGCAAGTACTAAGTAACCCGCAAGTACCAAGTAACCTGCAAGTACCGAGTAACCAAGGAGCCTCAACTTCGACAGCGCCAAGCGATCGTCGGAGATGGCAGACGTTAAGCGATGCTGAACGCCAAGTGATTAATAAGGGTTAAAATGCTTCCCTTCAAAACTGTTTCTAGTTGATTTCAGAGCAGCAATAATAGTTGTAATTTTAGAGGTCCGCAAATGTAGTGCTTACAAGACGTCACTATGTAAAACTTTCAAGGAAACGGGTTCTTGTGATTCAGGGCCTTCCTGTCATTATGCGCATGGTGAACAAGAGCTCAGGAGTCCTCCTAAGGTGAGACAGATTTCACTCAGTTTACTCATTTCCTTATACTGTTTTATTTGCTGACTTTTGGTTGCAGTTGTGCGAGGAAGACCACTGTCTTTAAGCTTCAAGTTTAGCTTTTCCTAAAGGTTTCAGTTCATTTTAAAAATAGTTTGTAAAGCTGTTAATAGGCTCATCCTAAGTACAAAACTCAACTCTGCAAAAGTTTTGCTGAATTTGGGACCTGTCCATATGGATCACGGTGCTTTTTTATCCATCAACATCCCAGTAATCTCGATTCTTATAAGGTAAGCTTGTGAAAGTAGAGTAAATCGTCACTAGGATTAGACTGTTTAAGTTTTAAAGTTTCAAGTTATCGGAACTAGTGTCACACGATTTCTTTTAGTTCGCCACTTGAATATTGGCTGGTGCTTTTCCAGCTGTTTAAACCAGCATCTGTTTCAGAACCGCGATAATGCTGACAATGCTGAGAGTCCCATCAGTGAAGAAAATAAAGAGAGGAGCAGCAGCGGTGAAAAACCTTCAACACAAAGGTCAGTTACGCTACAGTGCTTCGTTTATGGACGGTTAAGGCCTCTATTAGCGAAATGATGAAGCCAGTTCTTACGGAATGCACGTTGTAAAAATCATTTTTCCAGAGATTTATCTGGCGATTGTAGTTCCGCGGCGTCAAGACCTTGCAGTTCAGTCTCTGAAATGGTGGATGTTGCATCTTCATTTTCTGCTCTATCTCATTTAATTCCGCATTAATAGTGTTTTGCAAGACAATTTTGAAGTAGTAGTCTTGCACTCGTTATGTTCCACCATGCGTCATACATGCTCTTTAAACCAGATGTTGTGATTTCTTTTTGATTAGAAGCTGAACGACTATTTTAATTGCTGACTTTTTGAGACAGCTAAGGTGAGAGATCCAGGGCCGAGAGGAGATAATAAGGCGAGGGATTCAGGACAAAGTGGAGATAATAAAAAACAGGGCTTAAGAAGACAGACCAAGCGGAATTGATTCTAATGTTCGCATTTCTCAATTTCTCTATCAGTTTTACAGGCGGTATGTTTTTGTATGATTTGCTAGGGATTTGTTAAATGAAAACCTGTTGTACATGTGGTAATGGAGAAGTTTTCTCAACTTCCAAGCTAGAGAAAGTTTAGAAGCTCCGAACCGGAAGTCGTTTGTGCATGGTTATGCCTTCCTGGTTTGAGGACCATGGTTGACTGATAGATTAATTGTTAAACGTAACTGCTAGTTTTGTAAGAGTAGTTGGATAAACTACCAGTAGTTTGGGGTTTTTGAAACTTTTTATTTCTGGCAATTTGTAGTGTTTTCTCCCTCGCTAGTGATGTGCTATAGAAACGTTTCATTTCCGATTTATGAGTTTGAAATGAATGAGTTTTTTGAAGGGTTTGTCCGACGGTTGCTTTTTGCTTCATGGTCTGATACCATTATGGTTGTCTTTGCTTTACATAACTTTCTGTTAAACATTGATGGGCAAAGTTTGTTCTGGGTTTCTCACCGTCCTTTTTTTTTTCTCTTTCTGTCTTTTCTTCTATCTTTTCTCAAAATATTTAGCGAAAAAGGAAACTCCTGAAACGCGAAGTATACTTGTGCTGCAGAATAATTTTTTTGCAGGAGTAGTGCATGTTTTTTTCTGAAAGCGGAGAGGTTTTTCTTTTCCATTAATTGTTTGTCTTTTCCTGTTATTTGCGATGTGAACGACTTTGTTCAAGTTTGTGGTTCTGTTATAACCAGGAATTGTGGAAAATTTAGACTTTTTTGTTCTTAGTGAACCTCTTCGGTTGTTGCTATTGAAATATTTTTAGACGTGAAGTTTTTCTAATGCTGTTTTCTGCTATTTCTGTCCTCAGAAGTTATTTTTCCTTTAGCCGGAGTCATTATGTTTTGTTCATTTCTTTTTCAAAGTTTATCTTGCAGTATCCTATTTAAAAGTTCTCTGAAAGTCTGAATAAACGAGAGGACGTTATGGTTTTGACTCATAAGGCATTTTTAAATCCCATGCGAAGTCAGGTTTGTTGGGGTCGTTCAGTTAGTTTTATAGTCCGAAGGCAGTTGACTGCACACAGTTACTGTCTGCGTGGCGAATGTTTTTGCTGGTCTTACAAAGTCAAGTGAATTTTAATTTTTTTTTTTTGAAAAGCTGCAGTATTTCTCTTGCGTGTCGCCTATTTTACAAATAATTCATTTAGAACGGAGGACTGGGTATTAAATGGGTACCTTTTTTTTGTGTGGGAGTTTTGATGTATTTGTAGGCAAATTCACTAAGGTAACTGAAAGAAGCAGATTATAGTCAATTGCAAAGCATTAGTGTGTTCAAGGGAAAAACTGTTTATGCGAACGAGAAACTTATTGAACTTCTTGACAACAGTTGACTTATGAATCCTTCGGTGTTCTTCTTTCTTTTTTTTTTTTTGCAAAGAAGATTTACTGCTGGGAAAGAACTATTTGTGCAGGAACGCAACGAACCAACTGAATAAACGGGGAAAGAGTTGCATCTTTTGCGGGTTGTTAATTTGGAGAGTTACTGTTGGTGTCGAGTTGCAGACTGTACAAGCTTGATCGGAAATGGTGTGTTTCATTAGACTACTGTTCAGATGATCGATGACTGGCAGAAGTGCGTCATTGGTACATGCAGTATGTTCGCGGCGTATTCGCCGTGGCCTTCTGAACAATTGCGGAAGAATGAGGCTAAGAGTCTAGGGGATCTTTAAACTGTCGTCGTCAGTGAATTATAAATTATTTGTAGCCTTTTTTCCTTACCAACCTAGCGACAAAATTAAGCGAGCATAAGAGGGAAATTTAAAGTAAAAGAAATCTGTTCACACCATTGACTGTAAAATTAAGGGAATAAGCGAAAAAAGAGAAAAAAAATTGTTTGAAATTCTGCAACTTTTAATTTGAAGCCCCTCCGCTATTGTGAAAATAGCAACAGGACCTGTTCAATAAAAGGTAATGTAGATAAATAAATTATTCTATAGATCACTAATGAATAGTTGGTAGACAGGATGCTGCTGAGTGACCAATAAATCTTTGATCTTGATGTAACAAACAGATCTTTTGATGTACTTTCACTTCACGTATGTTCGCAAAACTGCGCTCTCCTCCTGATGGCATTGAGTTCGTTGGAATTCAGTATATTTGAACATGACGATGACCAATCTGTAGATAATGCCTTCTAGCCTGAAGATAAGAAGAAACTAAGAACAATCCGATTTACAAACGCAGTTTTGTTGCCACCTCCTCCACTATCCACTCTTCTTATTTCTTTATCAAAAAAGCAGCTAGTCGCTCAGTCGGTTGGAGCTGTCATTGCATAAAACTACCTATAAAAGCAAATTTAAAGGTAGCGTACTTTGGTGCAATAACGCCACACGGTTGAAAGTTGCAAGCTCTAACGAATAAATATCGAGCTGCAGTTGGTTATGATGTGTCTTTCAGCAATAGTTCAAGTAAAAAACTACGTTACTGTTGATTTCTACCCGGATATTTTGAAATATTAAAAGGAATACCGTACCTGCTGTTTGCCCCGTTAGCTTCCTTCTTTTGACTTGCTTCTGAAATTTATGCTAAGAATGGACTCTTCTAAACTTTGTTTTCACCTTCACTTCACCCTTTATCATTGTTTTTCTCATGCGCTATGTATAGAAGCGTATCAAACGTCGTCGTTCTGCTCATTCGAATTCTGACTATTTGAGTTAGTGCGATTTAAGATGATCGGCCAATATGTTTTTTTGAATCCATATTTGACAATGAAGTTACTCATTACTAAAAGAATTATGAAGCTTCTTCATTGCAGGAGAGCAGGGATTGCTTAAAACTGTTTGGAAGAAAATGAAAAAGAGGGGGAGATGAAAAAATCTTATTGATGGTTTTCAGGATGTCTACCCTTTCAAGGCAGAGGTGGTGTATAATTTTGTTTCAAAAAGCTGCACAACTTATTACCAAAAGGAACAACCCTTTGAAGGGGGTTCTCAAAGGTTCTACAAAAACTACATGAACACTTCGGAAAAGATTATGGTAAATTTGCCAAAAAGGGAAAACTACGAAATGAAAGAAGAAAAGATGGCTGCCACTATAAACTAGTCAGTAGTGTAGAGTGCCGACTAAGAAAATGAAGGCGGTTAGAAATACATTGGAGAACTCGTACGGATAGTACTGAGGCGACTAAGTCTGACGCTGAAAGATGCTATGAGTGTCATACGGGTTGAAATTGACGGTCGCTCGCAAAAACCTGGAGGTTTTAGTAAGAAATTGAACGTGCGCTGGTTTGTAAGTAGTCCACCTACTGCTTCGTTGGGGAATTACGCAGTTACACAAATTTTGATTTCTGCTTACCGGTGCCAAGAAACCGCTGTTACTGCGCGCATCCAGTATACGGAATCAGTATAAAGAAGTATAGATCTCTAGACATCTGCGTCTAAAAGACTCAGAAATGCGGCTGTTGGTGGTGCAGTTTAATGCTTTACTCTTAATCCCCTCAATGAGTATTGATTACGGTTAGTTAAAATCTGATGGAAATGTGATTTAACTAGTCAGCGATTTTTTTCCTCTTCTTCCTTGGCAAAAATATTAAAAACTTAAGATGGTTTGTCTTTTTCTATTGTAGTAAATAAGCAGGTTTCTTCTGCATTTTTTTTTCAAGCAGCGTTAAATACAAAGCTTTATTTTTAATTGCTAAATTTTTATAAGTGTCGCAAAAGCAGACCATGAATAACGGAAGGTTACGCAAGTTCAAATGGAAACGATTAGTGAAGTAACTAGGTAGTTGGAACCATCAGTAAGAAGTAAACTGTTCTGTTTTTGAAACTGAATCTGTATATACCCAGATACTTTACGACCGACGTATGACAGAGCCTATGAGAAGGTAGAAACCACATTGAGATTACGAATTGGACAACGCATTAGAAGGCAGGACGACACTGTATCTTACTTTTTCTGAATATATGCGGCATTGTCCACTTACCTCACTCTGTGATATAAAAGTGGTTCGTTCAGTAAAACGTAGCAGCAAGCAGAAGCATGTGGAAGCATGTTTAGCTACAATGAAGGAAATGCAATATTTTTTGCAGTGTTGAATACTAACGCATTGTTCAGTTGATCAAAATTTTTATTAGGAAATTGACAAAGCAAAAGTCTTAGTACAGTTCAAGCAATACGAATATGTCCGCTACGCTATCTAACATCTAAAGTAATTTTGAACGTGAGTAACGAAAAACACAGCTCTACCTAATGATTCATCAAAAAATATTAGGAATTTTTTTGTGGATATTTCCAACTATGACTGCCTAACTTCGTTACTTCCAGTTCGATGAACAGCAAGCCAGCGCTGCCCCTTACAGTTAGTTTTTGCTTTTTCATTACAGATTTCTGTCGTTACTGGTTAAATTCCTCTTCATTATTTGGTCAATAATGTAACAAATTGTGGCCGGAACACGTGAATATGAACAAAATATAGACTGTAAAAATGTTAAAACAGAAAAGTTGTAATATATATATACATATATATATGTAAGTAAAATTTTAAATGTTGCTAATGAACAACACGATGTTATCTTAATGACGTGCCAAAAGAAGTTTCCAAAAAATGGTAGGAATTCGTCCCTATAAATATTGCCGATCATGTCTAAAATGTGTGCTCACATATTCATTGGGTAGGAGCACTTCTTTCATCATTTTTTCTCTTTTTTTTGTGCTCATCTTTTGTTATCAAATTATAGAAATCATTGGTGAATGCCAGAACTTAAGGATTCTGACAAATTTTAAAATCCTCACCCGACTTATTTATACTGGTGAAGATGAAGATGACTTCTACTGCTTGTTAAATGTTGAAGTAGGAGATTTTTTGAAGCAGCTTTGGTGTATACTCGATGTCACACTCGATATTGCAGTAAAAATAAACAATTCCGTTGGATCGGCAAAAAATTATTATTCTGCCTTTCGTTAGTATCATTCAGCTTGACTAAGAAAATATTGAAAGATGAAGTGGTTTTTGTAGATATTGCGTAGACAACCTTTTAGACATACAAAGAAATGACAGTTGAGGAGATGGAAGATGTTTGTAGTAAATATTATGAAGGTCATGCGCTTTCTATAGCAAACGAAGAAGAATTCAAGCTTTTTGATCGTAAGTGTTTAATTTTTCAACAGTAATGTCCCGCTTAGTATTTCTTCACAGTAGATTCATGAGAAACTTAAAATTAATTTATAATAGTAAACTACTTAGAATTTGGGAAATTTATGATTTGCTTTTGCTCTCATTATGCTCATACTATTTGAACTTTCTTCCTTGTCGTCAAACTGATCTGTGAGTTTGTATTGACCATCAGCAAATTCTTGACCGCTGAGATGTAATTTATGAAAGAACAACAGTTTGGTCATTTTGTATCTGTTTAGGTGTTTTGCTTAAAGATCAGCATTTGGAAAAAGAGCAGTACATCTGGATTCCATTAGGAATCAATCACAAAATGGATTATTTTTATGACTTCACAGATTCAGCTTTTATTGTGAGTAAAAAACAACGTTTGCCGTATGTGACGTGGAAAGGTGGCGACTGCTACGCATTTGTTAGGGTGGGAACAGAACCCGGTTTGAAGTTCTTTCGTTACCTATTAAGTTGTTAAATTTTTTGTTTGTTAAGAACTTCGGAATTTTAAGATACATTGGGACTGATAAATATAGCTCCAATAGACAGTTTTCTTGAAAAGTTTTATTCAAAAAAACTTTGGCGCTGTTCCACGCTAAACTGCATCTTTTTTCAAGTGGGATTTCAAAGCTTTTTTAAATTTGAATAGTTG